CTGCTTTCTCTTCCAGGACCCTCTGGTCAAAGCTGTTCGTCTGTGCTGCAGACACGCTGGACCACCTTACATGCAGCTTTCAGGCCCCTCGTGTCTGCCTCCTGCTGTATGTTACCAGGCTAGGACTGTGGAAGCCACCGTCTCCCGGAGCCCCTGCCTGAGAGGTGTACTTGGTGCCACCTTCGGTTTGTGTCCAGCCAGAGCACACCTGTGTGGTGGCCCCAGGGAGAGGGCCGGCTGGCATTGTTTTCGCGAAAGCACGCAAATGTCAAGGATGAAGGCAGTGGGCCACAGGAGCCTCAAGGCAGTACCGGGGTAGTGGCATCCCCCAGGGGAGTATTTCGGATGCCTCAGGTCTGGGTTTGTGCCTCCTCTGCGGTCCTCAGGTTCTCATCCATTCCTGCCACTTCTGCTTAGGTGGAATGGCTGTGAGGGAAGGAGGCAGGCATGCCACCAGTCAGCCAGATCTTCTAAGCACAGCAGGTTTGGGTCCGTCTGATGTGTGGAAAGAGTCCTGCCTCTTTGACAACGTGACTGGCGCAGGCACATGGTTGGATTTTTCTGCAGAAACCACACCTGTGTGGCACCAGCTGTGGGGACGTCCTTGGGTCTCTGTGCCCCTCTGCCTGCAGGGGAGGTTGAGGCTGGGGGGTGTCCTGGCCCCGAGTGTGGGAAAAGACCCCTCCATGTGGGAAGCCCCAGATAGAGGGTGCTTACTGGATGTTGAAGCTCAACAGGTGCCAGCGTGTGAGGTAGAAAAGAGAAGGAGGTGCAGATGCAGGCCCCGGGGACATGAGGGTCCTACGCCCAGCCCTGCTGGCTGAGGAGCCTCTTCTCAGAAGCTGACCACACCTGTCTCCTCCAGAGGTGGGAGGGTCCTACCCTGAATTCTTCCCCAACCTCAAGGACATCTGTGATGAGCAGCCCAGACCCCTGCCCTCGACTCTTACCTGCCTGTGGAGGGATCCAGCTGGGTTGGCTGATTGGTTTGTTTTTGTTTGTCTGTTTTGATTGAGGTAAAATGTATGTAACCTAAAACTTACAATTTAAAGTGTACAATAAGGTAGCAGTTAGTACGTTTACAGTATTACGCAACCATCACCACTATCTGCTTCCAAAACATTTTGTCACCCATTAGCAGTCACTCCCACTCCCATTGCCCCTCCCCAGCCCCTGGCACCCACCCACCTGCTTCTGTCTCCGGGCTCTGCCTGCCTCGGTGCTGTGCGTAGATGGAATCAGCTGCTACATGATCTTTCATGTCTGGCCTCTTCCACGCTGCATCATGTTTTCAAAGTCCATCCACATGGTGGCATGCATCAGTACTTCATTCCTTCCCTGCCCCCAATTTTTTCTTATTGTGGTAAAATACATGTAATATAAAGTTTCCTATTCCGACCATTTGTTAGGGAATCACTAGTTTGGTGGTATTAAGAACATTCACGGCTTTGTGTAGCCAACACCACCATCCAGCTCCAGAGCTCTTTTGTCTTGCAAAGTTGAAACTCTGTCTGCATTAATGCAAACTCCCCACTCCACCCCCCTCAGACTCCAGCCCCCCACCTGTTTACTTTCTGTCTCTATGAATTTGATGACTCTAGGAACCTCAGATGAGTGGAATCCTGACATATTCATCTTTCTGTGACTGGCTTCTTTCACTGAGCATAATGTCTTCAAGGTTCATTCTTGTTGTAGCATGTCTGGATTTTCTTCCCTTTTTTAGGGTTGAATAATGTTTCATTGTATGGACGGACCACATTTTGCTCATCCCTTCATCTGTCAGTGAGCACAGGTTGTTTTCACCTTTTGGCTGTCGTGAATGGTATTGATTGCTGTTGATATTTGCATGCAAGTATGTGCATGTACTTAGGAGCGGAATTGCTCGTTGGACTCAGTGATAATGCTGACCTGTCCCAGCCACTTCTCTCGTAAATGAGGTGTGCTATGAAAGGAATGCTACAGCCAGGAGAGGAGCCGGTACCCCTCCAGGGAATGTCACAGACTTTCCAGGTCTTGCTACACTTGCCCACTTTTTTACGTTGAAGCCCAGGTGTGATCCATGGCCTGGTCACAAACACAGCCCTAAAAGGCAGCTCAGGGGCTGACCCCAGTTTCTCCTGATGAGCCTTTATTTGGGACAGATGAATCATTTCTGCAGCAGTAGCCTGTGGAAGTGGACCCTGGGCAGGTGGTCATAGTCAGTGGGCCTATCACACTGTAATAGGATCTGTGATAGCAAGCAGAGTCTGCACAATGGTCCCTAGTGCCTGAGGCTCCCCATAGAGGAGCAGAGGAAGGACCTGCCTGGGAAGAGAGACATCTGTGGGCCAAGCTGCCTGGGGTCACATAGCAAAGGTGTGATACATGGCTAACAGCAGGGCCAGAAAGCACCAGGGACATGGGCTGGAGTTCAGCCAAAAGAAGACTTGCAGAACTATTGTGGCTGTTCAGGCTGCCTCAGGAGGTAGTGAGCTCCCCATACTGGAAGGAGCCAAGCAGGGCTGGGGATTCTCTTGCCAGAATGTCACAGAAGATTGGACTGGATGACCTCCAAGATCCCCACCAACTCTGCATCCCTGTTTTGGTGTCCAGACAAGGACTTTTGTTTTACATGTGTACTGAACACCTGCTCTGCCAGGTCCTGGGACCTCACCTCAGAGAGGAGGAACATACAGACCACACTGGGGTCAACTGGTAGCTTAAGCAAATGGTGAAAAGCTTCAGCCTTGACCAGAGTTAGGAGTCAGCTCCAGCACTCCCATGGTGAGGGATCAGACAAGCTGTGGGTCTCTTGTGACCCTGTGTTTCATTGGAAGAAACAAGAGTCATAACAGCACTGCTTATCCACCCCTCCCATGCGCCACCCACCCTGCATGGAGCATAGCCCTGTTCATAGCTGAGCCTCCCAGCAAGCTGGTAATGCGAGTGTTACATTCCACCTGCTAGAGGGACACTGATGAAGGGAAAGGAAGGCCAAGTCAATGAGCATCTGAGCCTGAATATGAGGCCTGATCTGTGAGCAGCAGAGCCCTGGCACTTGGGTCCTGCCTTCCTGTGGTGAGGAGGGTACTGCCGAAAGCCAACCTGGGTTGAGGGAAACTGACGAGGAGGAGGGCCAGTGTTTTTTTGTGGTGACAGAGTCAGCACCTCCTGAAGCATTATTGGGAGAGATGCGCATAGATGGAATCAGCCACTACGTGGTCTTTTGTGTCTGGCTTCTTCCACTCTGCATCATGTTTTCAAAGTGCATCTGTACAATGACACACACCAGTACTTCATTCCTTCCCCGCCCCCCAATTTTTTCTTATTGTGGTAAAATACACATGATATAAACTTTCCTATTCTGACCGTTTTTACGTGCATCACTAGTTTCGTGGTATTAAGACATTCACTGTGTTGTGCAAGCAACACCACCATCCAGCTCCAGAGCTCTTTCATCTGGCAAAGTTGGAACTCTGTCTGCATTAACGCAAACTCCCCGCCCCACCTCCGTGAGTCTGGCCCCCACCTGTCTACTTTCTGTCTCTATGAATTTGATGACTCTAGGAACCTCAGATGAGTGGAATCCTGATGTATTCAGGATGATGGTATTACCTTTGTTCATCCCTGACTGTCTGAGCTGGTTCATAACAGGTGCAGGGTTAGCCTGAGGGAGCCCACCCTGCTCAGGACCAGCAGAACTGGCCTCGACCAGACTGTGAACCTGTGAGCATGGCAGGGTGGATGGGGGACAGGCAGTGCTGACAGAGGGTGGGTAGCACGGATGGAGGGTGGGCAGTGTAGGCAGAGAGCGGGCAGTGTGGAAGGAGAGCGGGTGGCATGGAAGGAGGGCCAGCAGCATGGAAGTTTGTGGACAGAGATGAGTAGGCCTTGTGCACCCCTGTGACCCTGTAATGGCATAGCCCTGGAGTGGGTGTGGAGTGAGAGGCTGACTGCCAGCTTCTCCAGGGGAGCAGGAGGAGCATCTGGAGGTCATGGTCACCAGGGCATGGGTGTAGAACAGCCTGTAGCTTGCAAACACTTGTCGGCATTCATGTTGCAACTAGACTAATGAGCACAGAAATCCGGGTGCGGTGCCAGCCCCGTGGGCCAATTATCCAGAGTCGGCTGTGGGGTCGCAATCTAGGCAGACGGCACGGGGCTGAGGCCACCCCACTGCTGATGCAAGTGTAATGAGAGAAAATGCCATGGGAAGTGAGACTCAATGGAGACATTTTCTGAATCAGTCAGGAGGTTTCTCCCCTTCCCACCTCCTCTTATGTCAAAAACTGCTCAGAGTCTCAGAGCTGGAGAGCCAAATGTTAAAACACACCAGTTCATTAGGGAACATACTCAGCTGTTCCAGCCAGTTCCCTCCCTGGGATTCCCCTCCACTCACCCGGAAAACAGTGAGAGAATGATCTAGAAATGGCCACATTAATTAAGGTCAAACAACAGAGGCTCTAAGGGCCATTTCTACTCAGGACTTTACAGATATTTCAATGTCATTTTTTAAAAAAAACATGTCTCCACTCAGGGAATGGGAATCTTAAGTTCCCACTCCTCTTTAACTGAAGACTCAGCCTCATCATGGGATACCCAGGAGAAGTCTACGTGGTGGGATGGGGAAGAACTCAGGGTCTCGCTTTAGGCTGAACAGACTCCATTTATACATCCATCCTTCCAACCATCCACTCACTCAGCCATTTATCTTTCTATCACTCATCCATCCACCTATTCATCTATCCACCCAGTCACCTGTCCACCTGTCCATCTATCCACACATCCATCTATCCATCCATCCATCCATATGTATGTCTTTATCCATCCATGCATTCATCTGTTCCCTCCCCCATCCACCCATCTACTTACCCACCCATCCATCCACCCATCTACTCATACATCAATCCATCCATCCACCCAACCACTGCATTCATCTATCCATCTGTTTAACCAGTATTTATCAAGACCTGACTATTCTGGGAGCTCAGAATATAGAGATAAACAAGGTAAGCACATTCTTTGACTTCAAGTAGGTTACAGTCTAATTAGTAAAAGTACACAATAAAGTTAACAAATGAAGCAGAGGATCTCCCTTTGTAGTTGACGCTATGAAGCAGACGAGTGCTGTCATAGAGTCCTGGGAGGTTGGGTCATGCCAGCTTTATGTAGGGATGCCAGGGAGCGAGTGTCTCCCTGAAGAAGTGACTTTTGAGTTGAAACCCAAAGATTGAGGAGGAATCAGCCCTCAAGAGAAGGTTCAGCAAGCACAGAAGCACTGGGGTGATGAGAGGATTCGACGCTGCAGGAATAGCCACGGCCTAGGAAAAAGTAGAAGCAGTAATGTCAGAGAAAGACCTCGTGCTTCATGAAAGGAGTTGGGTCTTCTCGCACTTGCAGTGGAGGCATTGGAGGGCGTTAGGCAGAAGTGACATCATCTGAATCACTTTTCTGGAGGAAAGCAGATGGCAGGATGGATGGAGTCCAGTGAGGAGCCCAATTGCAATTATCCAGGCCAAGCAACAACGGTAGTTGGTGCTGGTGGAGGAGGTGGGGTAGAGAGGTGGATGGAACTGAGGTGTAGGATGAAGTTAGATTGGAAAGGGGCATGGACATGGGGGTGAGGAAGAGCATGGAGGACTTAGCTCTCACCTTCTCTTGGTTTTCGCAGGGAGGAGCTCCCGGAGGCACATCCTTATTGGCAGCAAGGAACATGTCCATTAATGCTACTCAAGGAAAGGGTTTAAGAAGGTGCTGAGCATCTGTTTTTTGTTCTCCCTTAGAGAAAACCAGTTTTATCTTAGAGAGTGAATTAGAAGGATGACAAAGTATGCCTGTTCACCATTGAATATCCACTGTCCACAGCTCCCCATTTTCATGGCTTTTGAGCCTCACAGCCTGATTTTTATCTTTTCTAAATCAGTAATAAGAAATACACATACCTAGCCGGGCGCGGTGGCTCACGCCTGTAATCCCAGCACTTTGGGAGGCCGAGGCGGGCGGATCACAAGGTCAGGAGATCGAGACCATGGTGAAACCCCGTCTCTACTAAAAATACAAAAAATTAGCCGGGCGCGGTTGTGGGCGCCTGTAGTCCCAGCTACTTGGGAGGCTGAGGCAGGAGAATGGCGTGAACCTGGGAGGCGGAGCTTGCAGTGAGCCGAGATCGCGCCACTGCACTCCAGCCTGGGCGACAGAGCGAGACTCCGTCTCAAAAAAAAAAAAAAAAAAGAAAGAAATACACATACCTGGTTTAAAAATTCAAGATATGCAGGAAATTGATAGAGTGTGAAGGGTAGGTCTTCCATCTTTGCCTTCGAGTCCCCAAGTTCTTCTCCTTACAGAGAATCTCTGTTGCTGGGTTCGTGAGGATCTTTCTAGAGAAGGACCCTGCAGCTAGAAGCATATATGCATATTATCTGAAGCATTCTAAAGACCCTGAGAAATCACTGGTCCTAAGTTTTCTCTCTGGCTTTCCAGCTAAGTAACTATGCAACCTTGGGTAGCTCACCTCCCCTCCCTGAGTCTTCAGTTCCTGTTGTTTGCAAAGTAGAGCTGCTTCCAACTCATTCTATATCTCCAGTTGTGTTCGTGTTAAGGATGAATGAGAAAATATGTTTAGTACTTGCACCTCCTAAGAGGCATGTGCTATATAAATCCAGAGGGGTGCTGAGTTGTGAGCAGCGTGTGTGGGTAGCTGGCTTTCCTTTGAAACCCTAACTCTGCGCTCTAGAAGACTGCCTCAGTGTGTAGGTTGTAAGAACTGAATGGCAAGAAACATTGATTTCCCCCATTCTTCCTCCACCATTATTTTATGTTTTTATATATATTTTTATTATTTCTTAGACTTGAAAAGAAGGCTTTATTCCTGAGTATGTCTACTGTCTGGACACAGAAGGAAGCACACCCCATTTGTTCCTTACTCTCAGCTGAAGGCTGGGCCTCGCAGTTAATATGGAAGCCCTCATAGCGGCTTCTTTGAGGCATAGTTTGGGGCAGGGCAAGAGATTATTTCACTGTTTATTTCATGCATTTTATGTATTTTTATTTTTTTACTATTTATTTATTTTTGAGACAGAGTCTCACTCTGTTGCCCAGGCTGGAGTGCAATGGCGTGAGCTCAGCTTACTGTGACCTCTGCCTCCCAGGTTCAATTGATTCTCCTGCCTCAACCTCCTGAGTAACTAGAATTACAGGCATGTGCCACCACGCCTGGCTAATTATTTTGTATTTTTAGTAGAGACGAGGTTTCACCATGTTGGCCTGGCTGGTCTCGAACTCCTGACCTCAGGTGATCCACCAGCCTCAGCCTCCCAGAGTGCTGGGATTACAGTCGTGAGCCACTGCACCTTATTTTTATTTTTGCAAGTATATAGTGCTTTTGTAGTTTTTTGAAACAGAGAGGTATTTCTCTGGGTATGGGCAAGGGAAGGCATCACAACCACAGATGACCCATCTCTTCCTTCATGCCCTCCCAGCATGGTAAAGATGGTGGCCGGGGCCGGGTCTCCATCTGGGTGAGTCATTTCTCCAGGGAGTGCTGCCCTTCTCTGTGGTCTCTATTGTGATGGACAGCCCTCCCAGTGCCTAAACGGGGGACCTGAGTGTCCCCCTCCTCATTCTCCCTTGCTTTCCTCCCTCACCCCCTCCTTTAGTCCATCACAAGGGTCAAGGAGTCCTACCTTCTCCTTGTCCTCCTGCTGTTTCACTGGGCCGGCTCCTTGGCTCTTGTCCGTGTTCTCTGTTCCTTATAGCACCCCACAGTCTGGCTGCCCCAGGGACTCCTCCCCTCATCCATTCTCAGTGAACTCTCAGTTTCACATTTTTTCTTCCTCCATAAATTTTCACCCAAGTGCTGCATGCATGTAATGAAAGCAACTAATTAAACTACAGAGATAGGGCTAAGAGTAGAACTAAATTATTGTCTGCCCACTCTGACCCAGCTTCATCCACACAGCCCCACTTGGCAGACAAAAAACAGTTTTTAAATTAGGTCTGCTTCATTCTTCTGGTGAGTACCTTCCCAACATGATGATTACTCCCATATTTCTTAATTTTAAAATGTGAAACATCCCAACATTGCTGGGAAAGATGAGGCTTTCGTAGTTTGACCCTCACCTCCAATTTTGAATAGTTCTTGCCAGTATGCTAGTGGATTACCTTTAAATAACATTCTCAAACTTCCCTCTCTTGTTTAATGCATTTTAGACAATATCACTTGACCTTTTGGTATATTTATATTTATAGGTTCTAAGTTCTCTCTCCAAGTTGGACTCAGAAGTTAAAAAACGGTGGAGGGTGGACACAGTGGCTCACACCTGTAACCTCAGCATTTTGGGAGGCCAAGGCAGGAGGATTGCTTTAACCCAGGCATTCGAGACCAACATAGACAACAAAGTGAAACCAAAAACACACACACACACACACACACACACACACGGGAAGTATTACATTATGATGATAATACAAATGGGGCTAGGATTCCAATTCCTCTTTACAGACCTGTGAGAAGAAGAGTATTAATAGTATCACAACCCAATGAGTTTTTTTTTTTCTGCTCTATTAGTGGTTCAGAGTTAATTCCACATTTCAGCTGAATATTAGAATCATGATTTTCAACATGAAGATTTTATTTTTCCTTTTTTTTTTTTTTTTTTGAGATGGAGTCTTGCTCTGTCACCCAGGCTGGAGTGCAGTGGCCGGATCTCAGCTCACTGCAAGCTCCGCCTCCAGGGTTTACGCCATTCCCCTGCCTCAGCCTCCCAAGTAGCTGGGACTACAGGCGCCCGCCACCTCACCCAGCTAGTTTTTTTTGTATTTTTTAGTAGAGACTGGGTTTCACCGTGTTAGCCAGGATGGTCTCAATCTCCTGACCTCGTGATCCGCCTGTCTCAGCCTCCCAAAGTGCTGGGATTACAGGCTTGAGCCACCGCGCCCAGCCTAAAATTATGGCTTCTTGAGCATACCACTAAAATATCATTCTTTTTCTGATGTATCACTGGAATCTGTCCTCTTCTTGTTGGAGTCCTCTGACATTCTGCTCCAATTTGAACTCCTGTTCTCAGTACACAACGGTCATCCTGCAGTTCCACTTCACTGAGCTAGTGGATACATGAGTTGCTTCTTGTCTTTGCCCTTGTTCTGTCAGGATACCTCCTCAACTTCAACAAAAGGTAACTGGAATGTAACCTCCATGTCTGGAAATTCCCTAGTTATCAAATGTTCTCTGGGTTGTAGAACTCTAGCTTCAAAACCATTTTCCCTGTGAACTCTCCAGGCATTGCTTCATCGCCATCCCACCACTACTCATGGCTTAGAGCCTTACTGACTTGTCCTCTGTTGTCAATTGCTGAGAGAGGAATGCTGAAATTCTCCAATATTATTGTGTGTTTGTCTATTTTCTCTTTTCAGTTCTCTCAGATTTTGCTGCATGTATTTTGAAGTTCTGATGTTAGGTTTGTACTCATTCAGGACTGTTATGTCTTCTTGGTGATAGGCCTAGGCCTGGAAGTTCAGATGCCCAGGGGTTCTGTTCCCAGTTCTGAATTGATCTTTTTCTCATTATTCAATGTTCCTGTTTATCCCTGGCAGGTGAGAATTGCCAGTAAGAAGTTATAGCACTGTCTGATTCTCATTCCACTGGAGGTAGGGACCCTTTATTTTCCTCTCTAGAAGTTTGTAAGAATGTCATATTTTCTACTTTTTCTTAATGTTCTGAAATCTGATGGCGGATCTGAGTGTGGGCTTCCTTTACACATTGAGCTCACTGCTCTGGAGGCTCCTCCAGACTGAAGCGGCTTCCACTTCAAGAAGGTATTTTATTACCTCCTTGACAATCCCATCGCTTCCTCTTTCAGTTCAGCCTTTCTGGATTTCCTCTAGTAGACCATTTACATTCTCCCCATTTGTCACTTATTCTTTCTCAAGATTTTTTTTCTCTGCCTTCTTGTTCTGTATTCTGGGAAATATCCTTAACTTCCAACCTGTCTATCTAAGTTATTATTTTGTCAATCACACTGTTACTGTCCAAGAGCTTTTCCTTTCAACAATGGGATAAGCTTCTAAAGCTTGAGAGAAGTGGTTCCTGGATCTCTTTGGAAACAAACCAGCCAGCCAGGTATGGGCAGATCTCTGCACGTAGCTGCTGTCATGGCAGAGCTCAGGTGAACTGAACGTTCCTCCAGGTCAGACACCAAAAAGAGAGGCTTAGAGACTTGCTCCTGGCCCCACTCCCACCAGAAGGTCATAAGCAAAGATAGACCTAGGTTCTCGTGCATACCTATGGGACAAGTAGTAGCATCCAAATTGAAAATTGAAGTGCTGATGAGTTTATATTGAAGTGAGGTGCACAGATGACCAGGTGATGGAACTGTGGTAGGGAGAAATGGTCTCAGGAGCGCAGTGTCCCTGCTGAGTCATGAAAGTGGGGGTCCTCTCTGGAAAGGGGGCAGTGAGGCGCAAAGGGCCTAGGCTCGTGAGTTACAAGCCCCTATTCCCTCCCAGCCTCTCCACCTGCCAGCCCTGTAACAAGATCATCCACTCTCAGCTCTGCCTGTGCCTTCTACAAATGAACATTTGTGATTCTGCCTCTGTCACGGAGCTTTGAGATTCAGATTTCATAGATATCATCTGTGAAATATATAATTTCAAAGAGCCGAACACAAGGCTGACACTTGCTGTGTGTCCTGGGTACACAGTGGGTCATGAGTCTCTTGGGATGGTTGGGGCTGCTGGCTTGGCTGGGCCAGGCTTGGACTCCTTCTCCAGTACTTGGTGATGCGAAATTAGGTGTGCTCCGACCTGGCCAGCTTCCCCTTGCAGTTTTATGACGTCAAGTGCCTGACTTGGGGACTTTGGACCTTGGCCCCAGACCAAGGTGAGGGTGGGTTTTTCTGGCTGGAAGTACGCTCAGACCCTCTGAAAACAGCTGGATGGACTCTGAGGGGGGAGAGGGGGAGGGGCCTCCTCACGCCCTGCAGGGGGGGGACCCAGCTCAGCAACTGTTCTGCACTGGGGATGGGCACACTTGGTCTTCAGGTTGGAGTAAGTGGCCCCAGGACCACTCCGGCTGGAGGGTGGGGAAGCCAAGCTCTCAGCAGCCTGGACACCCTCGTGATGGCCTTTTCTGTGGGGCCAGGCAGGAAGGTCTGGCTGCTTTGTTCTGGACCCAAGGTCCCTACTTTAGGGCTGGGAGCTGAGTTCCTCACCACAGGAAGGCTCCTGGCTCAAAGCAGCCTCAGACCACGTTTAGTACATTTCCCAGGTGGCGAGTGGGTGGATGGTGGGGAGGGCACCGGCGGTGGGTGGGGCCATTGGGGCAGCAGCAGAGGAGGGCCTGGGGGACTGGGATTCAGCACCTTCAGGCGGGGTCCCACTGAGGGTACTCCCAGAGGCCTGCCTTGCTCCCCACCTGGATGGGGCAGGGGCCCCCAGAGCTCAGGAGCTCGGCTCGATAGCTGCAGAGGAATCTCCTGTCTCCTAAAATCCCCGAGCCCCTCTGGCAGGCAAAGGACAGGACTTACTCATGTTCTCTCTGGAGCTGTTCCTGACAACAGCTGCCAAGGCTGACCTCTGCCTCCACACTGCCCCCCCATACCCGCCCCCCAACCCCCGCACTGTACCTGGCCCCTCTCGTGCCCCTGTCTTATATCCACCTTGATTGGTAGCATTTGCTGATTTTGGTGGTGCAAATCACCCCACAATGGCCCATTCTGAGCTGCCAATGTGAGGTCACTGAGCAAGCTGGAAAGAGGTGCCCACAGTCAGCCCTGGCAGCTCCTAAGAGTCAGTTCTGGCTCAGTATCTGTGCCTCTGCACCCCTGCTCCAACCTTGTGCTCTGAGTCGGGGTCTCACACTGGGTAATGAAGCGTGTTGATCTGAAGCTCCGGCAGGCGGGTTTCAAGCCTGATGGGCCTAGGCCTGGGAGTTCAGGTGCCAGGGGTCCTGGTCCCAGTTCTGACATCACCTTCCTGCACGGGCCTTAGTTTCCCCATTTGTAAGATGGCTACATTGTAAAATGCCTACATCGTCGCCCAGATCTCTTCTGAATATAAAAGTCCACACACTGGGCCTGAAACTGCCATAGCCACTGGTCAGTGGTCACCATGAATGAATGCACTTTAGACAAAACTGCAAACCCTGAGACAGGCTGGGCAGGGTTGGGATTCCAGGGCCTGACCCAGAGTGGGCAGGGGTGGCCAGAGGGCAGCCCAAGATGAGCAGGAGCACTCTTAGTTGGGGTCCAGGCACGGGCCACCAGTGGCATACAAGGCCAAGGGGTGCCTCTCCAGGGAGCAGATGAGGAGACTGGTTCTGGAGGGGTGCCCAAGGCTGTGTCAGGGAAGCGGCAGGCTCTTGGGAAGTGCTCACACTGATCCCCGCCTCTGGCCAAAAGCCTGGTGTTCTGGGCCTTCCTCCAGGAAGCAGGGGGAGTCTTTGGTGCCTGACTGGGAGAGCTAGAGTGAGAAGCAATCAGACTTCCCTGATTCAGCATTACCTGGGCCACTCAGGACAGCCAAGAGTTTGATCTGCCTTTTCTCTGCCCACCCCTGTGCCTTCTACGCCTGTGTCTCCTCCAGGATAGGACCAGAACTGACTGACTTGTCTCCTTCTCCCTGGCATCTGGCACAGGGTCTGACAAATGTCCGGCTCTCTGAGATTGGGGAGATGAGTGGAGGGAGAGGTGAGAAGATGGATGGATAGAAAGATAATGGATGGATGGAAGGAAGGAAGCATAGATGGGGAGCTGGATGGGTGTGTGGATGGGTGGATAGATGGATTGATGAATAGATGGGGGGCTGGATGGGTGTATGAATGGGTAGATGAGTGGATGGATGGGTAGATGGATGATGGATAGATGGAAGGAAGGATGGATGGATGGATAGATGGGGAGCTGGATGAGTGTGGGGATGGATGCACGGATGGATGGATGGATGGATGGATGGATGGAAGGAAGGATGGATGGATGGATAGATGGGGAGCTGGATGAGTGTGGGGATGGATGCACGGATGGATGGATGGATGGATGGATGGATGGATGGATGGATGGAAGGAAGGAAAGGAAGGAAGGAAGGAAAAGGAAAAGAAGGAGCTGGATGGGTGTGTGGATGAGTGGATGGATGGATGGGTAGATGGGTGATGGATAGAAGGGAGGAAGGGAAGAAGGAAGGAAGGAAGGAAGGAAGGAAGGAAGGAAGGAAGGAAGGAAGGAGAGCTGGATGGGTGGGTGGGGGATGGATGGATAGGTGGATGGATGGATGGATGAGTGCGTGGGTGGACACATGGATGCGTGGATGGATGGATGGATGGGTGGGTGGGTGGCTGAATCTGTGACTTGGGGTAAGGGAAGGGACCAAGGTTGGGCAGTGTGCTCACACCTCTCTATAGGCAGTACTTGGCACATTGTCAGCACTCAATAAATATTCACTTCACGGAAAGGAAGGGACAGCATGGCCCCAGTGAGAAGGAGACTTGTGTCCCCAGTGCCAAGGAGTGTGCCATGAAAGTGCTCAGGGCAGTCTAAGGATCTGAGACTGCCCTCTGTCCTCCCTAGGGCTCTGCTGCCCCATTCCCTCCAGGACAGAATGAAGCACCAGGCACCTGTCCGCACGCTTAGGATTACGAAGAGATGCAGCCCATCCAAGTCTTCGGGAGGGTCCAGCTTAGAACCTGCTTCCCTCTCTTTCCCTGTCAGGGAGCTTGGTCCGATGGATCAGGTCTAGAGGCTGCACTCCCAGGCCCTGCCAACCAACAAGCAGGGCTTAGCTCTGATTAAAGGGCATGTGCTGATTAAAACCTGACTCCACTGACCCGAAGGCCAAGGTGGAGGCTGGCTCAGTGCCCTAATGCCTGGTATAGCAGCTGGCACCATGTGTCTTGGGTCCCCTGGCCTGGAGTTGGCCTCGTGGAGCTCTGAGGCCTCTGAGAGGAGCGAAGGGGAGGAACCAGGAAGAGAGCAGCTGTTTTCTGGGCGGCAGGAGGACAGGAGGGTGGAAAAAGTGAGTTCAAAAGCAGACTGGAGAAGAGGGGCCCAGACTGGAGGTTGGGAGCTTTTTTCTTTCCTGGGTTTCATTTGCCAGTTTTTTGTTTTTGGGGGTTTCTTCGCCAAGCTTCCGGGACTGTCAGATGGGAGGGCAGGGATTAAGGAACTGGAGTCCTCTGGCCACACCACCTGGGGGAATGACTTGGACTGAGTTCGGGGACCCGAGGCAGGGACTAAGGTGGTGTTGGAGTCAGGCATTGACCAAGGTCCTTTGCCTCACCCTTCTGTGGCTCAGCGTTCCCACTGCCAAAATGCACAAAGTAATTGCCCTGCCTCTTTCCCCAAATTATCCTCACCTTTGCATTTGAGCCAAGAGGGATCTCTGGAGTCCCTTCTTCCTGAGGGGTACATTGAGGCAGAGAGAGGCATGTGACCTATCGGAAGGGCTGCAGACAGGGCAGGGCTGGGACCAGCAACACTTACTGGATGGGCAGGGCCAGGGGCACTGTCCCTCTTGCTGGGTGTGACTCAGGCACTCACTGAGTCCTGCTGAGTGACGGACAGGGGCCAAGACACTCTCCACAGCCTGTGCTTCCTGGGTGAGGGGAGTGTGAGATATCAAACTGGATTCTCCTAGGAAACCGGAGAGTATGCCTTTGTGGTGGGCGTAGGGGTTAAGAGACAGGGTTTCACTTTGTTGCCCAGGCTGGAGTGCAGTGGTGCAATCACAGGTCGTTGCAGCCTTGAATTCCTGGGCTCAAGTGATCCTCCCACCTCAGCCTACCAAGTATCTGGGGCCACAGTACAGGTGTGCACCACCACGCCTGGCTAATTTTGTGTGTGTGTGTAGAGATGGGGTCTCTCTACGTTGTCTAAGCTGGTCTTGAATTCCTGGCCTCAAGCAATCCTCCCACCTCTGCCTCCCATACTGCTGGGATGCATGAGCCGTGCCCAGCCAGGAGTGTGCCTCTAAACGTTCATGGTTTCAGGCTCTGGGAGCCACTTTTCACGTTTCAAGGGTGGTGATTGGGTAGGAGGACGGGGACAGTGAGGACCCTGGGAGAGGGACCATGGATATGAAGAGTGAGTAGCAGGGACAGGGACCCAGGTCTCTCTCTTTTCATTCATTTATTCAAAAGTATGCATCCAGGGCCAGGCGCAGTGGCTCACGCCTGTCATCCTAGCACTTTGGGAGGTGGAGGCAGGTGGATCACTTGAGGCCAGAAGTTCGAGACCAGCCTGGCCAACATGGTGAAACCCTGTCTCTACTAAAAATACGAACATTAACCAGGCGTGGTGGTGCATACCTGTAATCCCAGCTATTCAGGAGGTGGAGGCACGAGAATTGCTTGAACCTGAGAGGCGGAGGTTGCAGTGAGCCAAGATCACACCACTGCACTCCAGCCTGGGCAACAGAGCAAGACTCTGTCTGGAAAGAAAAAAAAGAGGAGATCATGAAGATAGAAGAAGAGAAAGCCACATGACCACAGAGGTAGCAATTAGAGAGAGGGACCCCAAGACAAGGAATGCTCGCAACCACCAGAAGCTGCGAGAAGCAAGGAGGGGTCCTCCCCTGGGGCCTCCTGAGGGAGCGTGGCCCTGCCGATGCCCTGATTTCATCACAGTGGGTCATGCTGATACTGCATTTCTGGCCTCCAGCACTGTGAGAGAACCCGTTTCCACTGTTTAAACCACCCGGTTTGTGGCAATTTGTTGCGGTGTCCACAGGAAACTCCGAGAGCATGTATCAGCATATCAGTGAATTAACACACAGAGATGCACCATGAGTAGAAGGCGGCAAGTTCCAGGGGTGGAAGGAAAGTGTTAAAGGCAGCACGGATTGGGTGGGTAAGAGGGCAGTTTGCTGAGTTACACAGAAACACCAGAGTGGAGCTCGCTGAGGTGAGAGCTGGCCGGAGACAGGAAGAAGGTTAGAACTAAGGAAAAGAAAGGAGGAGGTGGCCAGGCACGGTGGAATCCCAGCACTTCAGGAGGCCAAGGTGGGAGGATTGCTTGAGCACAGGAGTTTGAGACCAGCCAGGGCAACAAAGCAAGATCCCATCTCTAAAAATAAAATTTAAAAAATTCAATAAAAAAGGAGGGAGCGGTAATTGTCAAATCCTGAGCCAGCAGTGAGCCTGGTGGGGAGACCAGCAGGGAACTGTGGCCATCAGGGAGACGGCGCCTTCCAGGGGATGCAGCTCAGCGGTCACACCCCCTCAGCTGCTTCCCAGCTTTGCCGACTGCAGCTGGTCTGCCTGAGACTTGTCACCTAACCCCTGGCCTCGGTTTCCTCACCTTCAGGGTAACCCCTGACGCATGCCTCGGACCTGAGCCGTGCCTCAATGGCACCGTGAAGAGCAGCGTCCTTCCCCATCCTCCCGTCATCCTCCTGTGCTTAGGACTTGCGTTTTGTCTTTTCATTTTCTTCCGTCCGAGGCTGCTCTCGGGTCCTGAGAGAGTGAGTTCAACAAAGGAACCAGGATGCTCCCCAACCCACGAGGACAGGGGCACCAGGCCTCCTTCTGTGTGGCCTTGGGCAAACCGGAAACTTCTCCCTACCTGCCTCCCCCGTTTCCTCCCTCTCTCCCTCCCATCTTCATTGTCTGTTTTACAAAACAGCAATGC